AAACCCGGTAAGGCTAAGGCAACAGTCTTGGCATGACAGTCCAAGATATCGTGGTAAGGTAATAACCAGTCCATCCCCAATATAACATCGAAATCGACCATGTCTAAAAGCAACAAATCTATACGAGTCTCAAGACCCCCAATCACAAATATACAAAAGCGATGGACTCGACCTACCACAATAGAATCATCCATCGGTGTAGACACATAAACAGGAGCACTCAATGAATCACTAGGCATGACCAGATACGGTGCAAAATAAAATCGAAGCTTCCCTACCACAAACCAGAACAGTACCTGCACCTCCACCTCTAGCATCTCTACCTCCACCTCTAATACCTCTACCTCCACCTCCAGCTAACTGAGCGGGCTGGATGAGTCCCTCAATGAACCTCTTCACTCTCTCTCACAGTGGGAAGTATGATAAGAGCATGACGAACCAAGTCGATGAATCTGATCTCGTACTGAGTAACAATCATAGAACCCTACTGGAGACACTCAAACTGCCTCTAATAGACCTCTCTCTGAGTGATGGGGAGAAACTTCTCCAGGAATAGTTGCGTGAATTGTTCTCAAGTCAAAGTTGATGACCTAACTGGTATAGCCAATCAATAATCCATCCAACATATCTTGGCGGATCCATACAGGCGAAAAGTAGCAAAACCGACCCCATCAGTGTCCACGATCCCCATGTTCCTGAGAACCTCATGACAGTTGTCTAGATAATGTCGGGGATCCTTAGAAGATGCACCACTGAAAGTAGTAGTGAAGATCTTGGTGAAACCTATCCAACCTCCACAAAGACTCCGAAGACTTAGCTGATCTATCACCGGTCTGTGCTGCTGATCGGCTGAAGAAGCGGTACATGACCTCGCCATTCACAAAAGGACAAGAGTAGGGATTCCAATTTAGCACTGAGTGAACAAAATCGCACAACAGTAAAGAATGAATGTGAAGTTTTTCCTAACTCTGTAGCCTCTGGGGGATAAATACATATGTCTCTGTACCGATCCCTCTGACTCTACTAAGCCTATCTGTGAACTGTGAGACCCATGTAACCTATAGCTATGACACCAACTTGTCACGACTCGAATTTCCCACCCTCGGGAGTCGTGATGGTGTCTATTAATGTGATCTAGGCAAGACAATTATTGAACCATCTACCTTTTTACCAATTTTATTCTTTTTAACAATTACAAAAAAAAATAACATAAGCCGAAGAAAACGATAAGCCATCTGAACATGAATATCTATTATAACTGTTTGAGTCTCGACTACCCAGAACTGGTGTCACAGTTTCACAGACGGTCTAAGAATACTACATATAAAGGTCTAAAAGAATTAAATACAACACAGTCTCTGTAAATACATATATAAAACAGGAAAGTATATAGAAGGAGGCGCAAAGGCCTACGGACACCTACAGGGCTACCTCGGGTCGCATGATGAACAAGAATCAGTAATCTCACCGCAGTTCGAAGTCTACAACACTTGGGTCTGCACAAAATAGTACAGAGTGTAGTATCAGCACAACCGAACCCATGTGCTTGTAAGTGTCTAGCCTAACCTCGGCGAAGTAGTGACGAGGCTAGGACCAGACTACCAAATAAACATATGCAGTTATATAATATACATCAGAAAGTAAAGCAGGGATAAGCAAGTAAAGATGGGAGGGGGAAACATGTTGCGGGGGTATATCAGTAATAACAGTAAATCCATAGTAACAGTCTAAGGGTAGGTTAGGATTCACAGGAAACAAAAAAACTAATATCCAAAATAAACACACTTGTATCAATAATTGTTGCGACACACAACCCGATCCCAATATATATAACAATACTGTTGCAGCGTGCAACCCGATTCATATCATTTATCATTGTTGCGACGTGCAACCCGATCCACTTATATCATTGTTGCAGCGTGCCATTCGATCCATATATAATATTGTTGCGGCATGCAACCCGATCCACAATAATATTGTTGCGGCGTGCAACCCGATCCACATATAATATTGTTTCAGCGTGCAACCCAATCCACATATAATATTGTTGCAGTGTGCAACCCGATCCAAATATAATATTGTTGCGTCGTACAACTCTATCCACATATAATATTGATAACAATCATAACAAGAGTCCCGACAAGGGATCAATAAGGTCTACACTATCCTGGCAAGGGTTTCGACAGCATAGGTAATCACGTCCTAGCAAGGGAGAAACAACTATAACCAAACTTGTTCCGACACCTAACTACCTCAGCTATAACCATAATCCCTACCCAACACAAAGAATCATCAACCTAAGTAATCGTAATATCAATTAAGAACACAATGCAAGGGAATCACAACTCAACAATAGCCCGGCAAGAGGGAAACATAATGATCTCTTCTCTTTCTCACTTTTACTTCACAACTCGAGCCAATGCTCTAGAGTTTCAATTATCACTTATACTTTCACAATTTATTATACAACTAGAGCCAACACTCTTCAATGTTCATAAGTCACAATTCTTTCCCCAACTTTACACAACAAATAGAAATCTTCACCAAGGCATGAATAACACAATGAAATCATGAAAATCACAATATAAGACTCACAGTCATGCTTGAGGCCAACGTATAGATACTCGTCACCATGCCTATACGTCGTACTCAACAAGAAGCAAATAGAAAGTAGGACTCAACTCTTAATCCCTCAAGCTAAGGTTAGACCGAAAACTTACCTCGATGTCACGAACGCAATCCAAGTTTCAATTATAGCTTTACCCCTTGATTCCACCTCCAATTTGCTCGTATCTAGCCACAAGTTACTTAATTACATCAATAAACGCTAAATGAATCAATTTGGATGCATGAAAATGTGTTTTCCAAAGTTTTTACCCAAAAAGTCAAAATCAACCCCGGGCCCATGTGGTCAAAACTCGAGGCTCAAACCAAAACCCGTATACACATTCCCCAACGAACTCAAATATATAATTTGTTTTGAAATCAAACCTTAAATCGAGGTCCAAATTCCCAAGTTTTGAAAAACCTAGGTTCTACCCAAAACACCCAATTTTCCCAATGAAAATCATTATTTTGAAGTTGAAATCATGTTAAAAGATATTAATGATTGAAGAAAACTAGTTAAAAATGACTTATAATTGATTTGGAGAAGAAAGATTGTTTGAAAAATCGCCTCTTATGATTTTGGGGTTTTGAAAATTGAAAAAAATGACTGAAATTTCCGTCTATTTATACCCCTCTTACACCCACTGTGCGGACCGCACAAAATGGACTAAGGCATCACAGACCTTCCTGAGGGTACTGAGGTCTAGTGCCCTATGCGGACCGCACAAATTCGAATGCGGCCGCACAGCAGCGCCCTGTGCGGATCGCACAAAGTCGATTGCGGCCGTACAGCCTCCACCGCGCACCGCACAAGGTCGACCACGGACCACACTGGTGGGTTCAGAGGCCTGCAATTTCTGGTTTTAAGCCTAAAACATCCCGAGACCTACCCGAAACTCACCTGAGCCCTCGGAACTCCAAATCAAGTGTGCATACTAACTCAAAAATATCATATGGACCTACTCGTGCGATCACATCATCAAAATAACATATAAAATCATGAATTAAGCCTCAAAACTTAACATTTTCATCAAGAACTCTCAAAGTCCATAACTCCTCAACCGGAAGTACAATTCACGTCAAATAAACTCCGTTTTTCACCAAATTTCACGAAAACGTCTTAAATCATATATAAGACCTATATCGGGTGCTGAAACCAAAATACGGGCCCGATACCATCATGTTCTAAGAAAATTTTATTTCAATTTTCCTCAAACAATTTCTTTTAAATTAATTCATTTCTCGGGCTTGGGACCTCAGAATTCGATTCCGGGCATACACCCAAGTCCCATATTTTCCTACGGACCCTCCGGGACTGTCAAATTACGGGTCCGAGTCTGTTTACCCAAAACGTTAACCGAAGTCAAATTTATTCATTTTACAGTCAAAGCTTAGCATTTTTCACAAATTTTTACATTTAAGCTTTCCAGTTACGCACCCGGAATGTATACGCAAATCGAGGTGACTCTAAATGAGGTTTTCAAGACCTTAGAACAGAGAGTCATCACAGAAACATACCTAAGAATCTTAAGAAATTAGAAAAAGATTCATATAGTTATCTAATAACTTTTCAGTTCTTCATTTTTCTTTATTACATAATCTACTATATTTAATATTATTTTATTTGCTATATAATTTTTTAATAGCTTGTCACTTGACTTATCTATCAATCAATTGCTCTTTTGTAATATAATATAGTAGATATGTATTTTCTTACTCCTAGTTTGTTTTTCTTGAAGCATTTATTCCATTTGTCTAAATGTATTAATATTTATTTTAAACTTACTTTATTTATTTTTAAATTAATTCAAATTAAAAATATCCACACATTATCTCCATCCACCACTTTGTACAATTTTTATACGATAACTTAATTGGTTAATCTCATTTAGACATATGTTCTGTTCAATCATAAGTTGAAGAAGGTCAAGAAGGCTCTATCTGGATGGAGTAAATCAACATATGGGGACATATTTCAAAAAATAGCTAGTTTGGAGGAGGTTGTAATTGTGCATGAAGCAGAGTTTGAAGCTAACCCTACAAAACAAAACAGACAAAGGTTGCAAAAGGTACAAGTTGAATTGATCAGATATCTAGCATTGGAAGAAAAATACTGGAAGCAAAAATCTGGAATGTCCTGGTTTAAAGATGGTGACAGGAATACTAAATTTTTCCATGTGCAAGTTAGAGGTAGAAGAAAGAAACTGCAACTGTCCAGAATTCAAAACAGTCAGGGTATGTGGATAGAAGAAGAAGAGGAGATAGCTGCAGAAGCAATTCAATTCTTTCAGGATCAGTTCTCAGAATCTGCAGCACCTACATCTTTTGATATCATAAGTCATGTTCCTTGATTGATAGATTCAGGCCAAAATGAAGATTTGATCAAGCAACCAATGTTAGGGGAGGTAAGGGCAGATGTATTTGGGCTCAATGGAGATAGTGCAGGTGGCCCAGATGGATTCACAGGGAAATTTTATCAGTCATGTTGGGATATTATAGGAGATGACCTGTTTGACATGGTGAGAGCATTCTTTAATGGGCATGAATTGCCAAAATGTGTGACCCATACTAACCTTGTGCTGCTTCCAAAGAAAAAAGAAGTTTGCACCTTCTCAGATCTTAGACCAATCAGCCTCAGTAACTTTACTAATAAGGTAGTGTCAAGGGTTATCCATGAAAGGCTTGTGGGGCTGCTACCTAATTTGATATCTGAAGAACAAGCTGGTTTTGTTAAAGGGAGGAGCATTGTAGAAAATATTCTGTTAACTCAAGAGATTGTCATTGATATGAGACTAAGAATTAAGGCATGTCCAAATGTTGTATTGAAGCTGGATATGACCAAAGCTTATGATAGGCTTTCTTGGTTGTTCTTGACTAAGGTTCTGAGAAAGATGGGCTTCTCTGAAAGATTTATTGGCATGGTTTTTGGCATAGTTTCAAATAACTGGTACTCAGTGCTGATAAATGGTCAAGCACATGATTTCTTCAAATGATCAAGATGGGTAAAACAAGGAGATCCTCTGTCTCCTACTTTGTTTATCTTAGCTGCTGAAGCACTATCAAGGGTTCTTAATGCTCTGCATCTGAATTTGCATTTCTGTGGATATGGTTTACCTAAATGGAGCCCAAAGATAAATCATCTTGCATATGCAGATGATACAATTATTTTCTCCTCATCAGATGACACCTCCCTTAGGCACATAATGGAGGTACTTGCAGCGAATGAAGAAGCATCTGTACAGCTAGTCAATAAGGCAAAGTCAGTTGTGTATCTCCATCATTTGACTGATAGTGAAGTAGTAGAGAAGGTAGAGAGAGTTACAGGAATTAAAAGGCAGGAATTCCCAATTGTGTATTTAAGATGCCCTATTTTTTATTCAAGAAGGAAAATGGAATATTATCAGCCAATGATTACTAAGGTATTGGACAGATTACAATCATGGAAAGGCAAGCTATTGTCTATTGGGGGAAGGGCAATTCTCATTGCCCATGTGCTTCAGAGTATGCCAATTCATTTGTTATCTGCAGTCAATCCACCTGCATATGTGATTAATACACTTCACAAGATTTTTGCTCAATTTTTCTGGAGTAGTTCAGTGACAGGTAACAACGGGCATTGGGCATCATGGAGTACCTTATGTATGCCACAGAAAGAAGGGGGTATTGGTTTTAGGTCCCTTCATGATGTAGAAAAAGCTCTGTTCTGCAAATTATGGTGGAAATATAGAACAAAACCTAGTCTGTGGAGCTCATTTATGAGTCAAAAGTATTGCAAAAAGATGAATTCAATGGTAGTGCTATGGAGAAAAGGATCATATGTTTGGAGAAATATGTTGGAGTGCAGAGACCTTGTTGAACACCTGATCATTTGGCAACCAAGGATGGGTTCTTCTTTGTTCTGGTATGACAACTGGACAGGCTTAAGGGCTTTGTATTTTTTGATTCCTCAAAATTTTGGAGTTGATGAATCAGTCCGTAATGTGTGGGATGTGGTGGATAGAGGAGAATGGAATACACAAAGGCTTTATGAAATATTACCTGAAGAATTTGCAGAACACATCATAGTAAATCTTCAGCCACCTGCAGCTCAAGGAGTCTTGGATGTACCTGTTTGGAGTTTGGAATCAAAGGGTCAGTTCAGTGTTAGAACAGCATGGGAGTATGTGAGGAACAGAGTTGAACCAATGTCAGCTTATAAGAAAATTTGGGTGAAAGGTCTGCCATTTAAGATAGTTTTTTTCATGTGCAAAGTATGGAGGAACAAGCTGCCATTGGATGAGTTTTTCAGAAGACTTGGCTATCAGATGGCATCTAAGTGCTGGTGTTGTGCAGATCCTTTGGAGGAAACAACACAACACTTACTTTTTACATCATATGTTGCAAACAAAGTATGGAGTATTACCTTAGGCATGCTGGTATTGTAACAGAAGGACTCACACTACACCAGGCAATTATCAAATGTTGGACTGCAGATGTAGTACCTCGACTGAAGCCAATTTTGCAAGCCTTGCCATCAGTCATAGTATGGGAATTATGGAAGAGGAGAAATAGTTAAAAATATGGAGATGCAGTCACTATTAACAGAGTGGTGTACCAGATCTCTTCTACTCTGCAGTCATTGATTAAAGTAAGGAAGCCAGGAATTAGTCAGGTTTCTCATAGGTGGCCAGATATGTTGAAGATGATGGAGCAGTTCACACCAAATCTCAGGTATACAAAGGTGAATTGGGATTTTCCAGAACAAGGTTGGGTGAAAGTCAACACAGATGGAGCTTCAAGAGGTAATCCGGGAAGGAGTTCAATTGGTTTTGTCCTTAGAAATGAGGAGGGTGATGTCCTGTATGCATGTGGCAAGGAGATCCAAGAGGGCACAAATTCAATTGCTGAAGCTAAAGCTATCTCTGAGGCTTTGAAATTTTGTGTACAGCATGACTATGTCTTGATTGACTTGCACACAGACTCTATGGTGCTGCAGAAAGTGATTACAGGAGAATGGAAGCCCCCTTGGGTCTTGGGAAGTCTGGTAGAGGAGATTATGGATTTGATGAAGAGGGCTAATGTTAAGATATCTCATACACTCAGAGAAGGAAACAAGTTAGCAGATCACATTGCAAATTATGCCCTGGACAATGGCCTGTTGGAGTGTTACGGATTTGAAGATTTGGATGTTCAGGGGAGAAAGTTGGTGAACTCTGATAAATTACAATGTCCATACATAAGAGTCTCAGCTTCAAAGAGATAGGAAGAGGTGGAAGAGCTACATCACCTGCAGAGGGGGATTAAAGGAGTCTGTATAAACATCATCATACTCAAACCTTTTGGAGGAGAGTATGATGAAATTTTTATCTAACAATCTTTTCTTTTTTGTAGGTACAAATGTTGCAGCTATGTTTTGGATCTTGAGGGAACTTTTTATGGTGGTATTAGTGCTTTGCACTCAGCCCAGAGAAGGAAACTCAAATCCAAACATAGCTACAGAAGAAAATCAGAAATTTCTGATGTCACTGATGGTTTTCAGCAAATCTAAGGTCACAACAGGAGCTTTAAAGCCCAGAATGTCTAATCAAAATGGGCTACCTGATCTTGGCTATGTCAGCAACAGGGGGTACACTTATTAGAGGGGATAGGAGCATCGAGTGCATGTAGAATGAAGGATCAGGTGGAGGAGCATTTCAGCAGAACAAGCAGGGTCCAGATTCTTAATCTGGTTTTGAGCAGCAGGGCATTTTCAGGGATAGGGAGTAATATGGGAGTTTTGGGGTTGGAAGGAAGGGGTCTAATCTGGGGATCCACAGCAAGAGAGGGAGTAGTAGACACACATTGAGATTCAGGGAGCCAGGCAGGTGCTAGAGGAAAAGGAATGGTGACAGAAAATGAAAAGGTGAGGAAAAATGAAGTTCAGCAGCATAGCAACTGCAGGTTATCTGTATGGCCTCAAGAAGTACAGGATACCTTATCATATGATTTGGTGTTGTCTGAACGCAGTAGAGTGATGATATTAGGGTGCAAGGAGCAGGTAATGAGGAAGGGTAAGGAAATAGGCAGAAAAAGAGAATATACTCCAAGAGAAGATGGGGAATAAAGATGCTACTATGATGAACATCATGCTCAAATCCTGTTGGAAGAGAGCATGATGAAGCTTATTTCTAACAAAGTGTTCTTTTTTGCAGGAACAGTCTCTAGGCCCTATTGTTCACTGAAGTTCTTACTAGTGGTATTGGTGATTTTCACCCAACCTAGTGGAATGAAGGTAGAAATAGGATACAACCTAGAGGAACCAAGGTACAAAATTCAGACATCAAGCAACAGGACATATAGATCATTATGGCACATTAAGTCAGGGGTGCACAGCATAAAAAAATTCACAAGGAAAGGAAAACT